CCTGACTAGATGATACAATTATCTTGCCCACAACCATCTTGCCCACAACCCAGAAGTGCACTAATTCATTCCCTCAAGTCTCATCAGTTCCAGGATTTTTCAAAAGTCCAAGTCTCCTCTGAGGCTCAAGGCAATCTTCTAGTTATGAATATGTTTTTTAAAAAAAGTCATATAATTCCAAGGTTTGCACAGGCAAACATTTTGATTCTAAAAAGCAGGAATAAGGGGAGAGAAAAAAAATCAGATCAAATCAAGACCAAAACCCAACAGGGCAAACACTAACTCCAGTAGATCCATAGCCAGCATTTTGGTCACATGGTGGTAAGACGATAGTTTCAGAGGGCCTGAGCAGCTCCGCCCCATGGCCTTACTGGTTGCAGCCCACAAACCCTCTCTTTTGAGTTGCTTTCACTAACAGCCTGTAGTTTTTCTCAGTAGACATTCTAAATCCCTGACATGTCTGATTTCCTGGTATCTCTATTGCACCTTTGGCTTCATTTCCACAATTCATACACTGTCCTCTCAGATGTGCATTGTCTGGCCTTCCAGGTCTTACTCTGAAATCACTGTGGAAGTTCCCTGGTCCCATAAGGCTTACAGTGTGAACGGCATTAAAACTAGCATCTCCTTAGTGACACTGAACACAGTGAAAGGAGTCCCAAGGAGGCCCACCTGGAGCAGAGGTAACAGGGACTCTCTTTTCAAATGAAAGATTTACATGTTGTACCTTTGAGCTTGCCATTGGTGGTGTCTTTCTGATTCCTGAGATACCTTCAAAGAATCCTTCTTAAAAAAGAGAGGAAAAAAATGACTCTTTCTTCTTTTCCCTGTACAAAGTACTTGGGGTTTGTTCATGACACTAATTTCTTTACCAATCACATCTCCTTTAGCTCCAACTTTATGTGTGGATCTTTTTGGGCCAAAATTTAAGTTTTTCATATTTTTCTGCTAGGCTTTTTGTCCTAGTGCTCTCTATAAATCTAGCTGAAAGCAGCTAGCAGTATGCATACTATATCCTGGACTGCCTTGAAATTTCCTCGGCTAGATCAATTAGTTCACTGCCCTTAATCTCAGTCTCTCAGTCTCAGGACATGGGCAAAATGTAGACACTTTTATCTGTATGTTTGTTTGTTTTGCCAGAGGTAACACACATGGACTCTGGCTTTACTCTCTGCATTCCTATCAGGATTCTGATCTTCTGAGCTCCCACCAGAGTCATCTATCAAGCTTTGCTTACAGCACTCCAGAGCTTCTATAATCCACATCCCCAAACATTTCCAAATTCCTCCCACAAATGGTCCAAATGCTTCTAAACCGCTGGTCAAGTAAAGTCACAGAAATGACCTCACTTCTCTGGTAACAATTTCTTATATTAGTGCACTTTTCCACCACTGGAAACAAACAGCCAATACCCACAACTTAATGGAAATAATGGTTGATGTGACTCATGGTTTCAAAGGATTCAGTCCATCGGCAGATGTCCCCAAAACAGAAACATCATGGCAGAAGGGCCTGTCATAATACAGCTGCTTAGGTCATGGCAGCACATGGCAACAGTGCCAGAAAGAAAGGAATGTGGGGCCATAAACAGTACCCAAGGTCAGGTCTCCATACACCCCCCCCCACACAGATGTTCTTTACAAATTCACTGGGTGTTTCTTAAGTCAGTAAAGTTGAAACATAATGGTAAATGGCCACATCTGGCATGGGACTAGCTTTCCAGAGACAATAAATATTCAAAACAGTGATGTTGGGCTGGGAATGTAGCTCAGCAGCACAGCACCTGCCTGGCAAGTGCAAAGCCCTGGATTCGATTCCCAGTACCAAAAAAGAAACGTGAAAAAAAAGACCAAAAAAAAGCCCTTAAAAAAAATTAAAAAGGTGATGTTAGAAAGAACATTGGAAGGTGCTGGGATGGTCACCTGGAAGCTCCTCTGTCAGATCTCCAGAGGAGATTCCAGGAGGCATTGCACACAAGCTGGGGCTGGAAGACAGACAGAGGAAGTGCCTAGAATCTGGGGATGAAGGTCTGTTGGAAGGGACAACATGCACCATGGGCCAGAGTAGGAGAGGATCTGAGCCATGGGAGGACACTGAGGAGTAGCTGGACTGAGTGATGGACAGGTGTCCAGAAGGAAAGGAGATAGGGCCCAGAGGGTATGAAGAAGCTGCCCAGGGCCAGGAAGAGCTGCAGAAGGAGTGAGATCCTCTTTTCCAAACCAAAGGAAGACATTCAAAGGGCTGAAATTGAAGTGACCTGGTCTACAAATTTGAAAGATCACCCTGGGCCTCTGAGAATGGGTCAGAGAGGGGCTCAGGCTGCATCTCAGAGATGAGCAGAGGAAGTGGGCAGAAGGAGTCACGTTTGTCAGCCAGGCTATCAGGGGTCCAGTCCAGCTGGGAAGTGAGAAAAGGAACTGTCTGAGATGTGCAGAAGGCCAGATCATGAGAGTTGAATCATAAAGCCTGATGGAGCTGAAATGTGAACCCTAAAAGTCATATGTTTAAGTGGCCAGAGGTCCGAATCCATCTTGGATAGAGGATGAACTAGAGAAGACTCCAGGGCCAGGAGCAGAAGAAATGGCATCACGGGTTTCAGTAGAAGAAAGAAGGATCCCAGCAAACACAGGTGAGAGGATCAAGATGTCTTCCCGTGCAGACCTTAGAGCCCTCTGGCTGGGATTCTGTCCCCTGGACATGAAGCTCTTCCCAGTGCAGCCCAGGGATGGCAGGGCTGGGCCTGCTCTTCTGAGAAACAGGTTGTTCAGTGTAATGCAAGCCATGTTGACACGAAGGCTTGAGCGTAGGTCCACCACACTTACCTTGAATTATTTTCAATTTCTGCAGGTGCACCACATATCATAATTGAACAGCAGCCCATAGTAGGAAGCAAAATAACATCATTATGCTCACCACGGCCAAGGTAAGCACTGGGTTGGTTATGCCCCTGCCTGTGGACATCAGTTGGCCCCCAAATGGAATGGATTCCACCCCGTGGGCTTGCAGAGTCTCACCATGGACCAGCCTGGGAGTCTCTGAGTCCAACGTAAGAAAACAGCCAGTGTTTCTAACTCCTTTATGGGCTGGATTGTTTGACTAGGATGCTCTTAAGGTATCACTTTGAGAAAAGAAAGAGATTGTGCTCATGATTTTGCTTTATTTTGCTTTTGGAAACGAATTACAAAACCTTTGGCTGGTAGTTAATACTGAGGTTCTTTTTTCCCCACTCGACACTCTGTCTGGCCGGCAAAGATCAGCAACAAATAGAACAACTTTAAGCTACACAGACAAAAGCTTGGCGGCTAAAAGGGGATCATCCATAGAGTCCACGGCTTCAGCTGAAATCATTTCAACAAATGTGACACTAATGGGAGAATCAAGTTGCTACTTCATTTGGGACACAGTTCATGCTTCCCACGTGGAAGCAATGGTCACTCTGCCTCCTTCCGAGGAGGACACTCCGTTTCTTACCAGGGGGTCTCTTAAAGGCAAACTGTGATGTTTAGGCTGGTTATATTGTTTGGCAAAAACCAAGAATTATGTATATATACACAGAAAGATAAATATGCATAAGTAGTTAATCAAAACCAGTAGCTCTCAAGTAAGGGTAATTTTCCCCTTGGGATACATTTCAAAATTTATGAAACTTTTTTTTACAACTGGTGTTACCAGCTTCTTGCTGGTCCAGGTTGGGGATGCTGCTAAACATGGTGAGAAGTGGACAGTGCTTCTTCCAGAATAAGTCATGATCAGCCCCCCTCTCCCCATTAGTATTGCTGAAGGTGAGAAACTCTGGTCTACTCTGTGAACTTGTGCAGGGCAAATAAATCTTTTTTTTTTGGTACTGGGGATCGAACTTGGGACCTTGCGCTTGTGAGGCAGGCGCCGGAACCACTGAGCTAAATCCCCGGCCCTTGGGCAAATAAATCTTTATAGATCTTGAACTATCAAATCAGTAAATATTATAATGGCAAACTGAAGTCTGCATTTTTACATAAAGTAGCAAACAAATGCTGGGGTAGTGGACGTCACATCATGCATAGATACTGCCTTTGTGAGTGTGCATGTGTATGATTGTGCACACACATTCACATGTACACATTCCCAGCCAGCACACATCAGGACCTTGTACACAGCCAGCCTCAACATGGATGGCTGGCACCCTTGTCTGGTTCCTTCAAGAACAGGTGATCAGGTTCTAGCCCAGAATTAAAGGACACCATCTGCTTCCACAGGGGATGCAGGAACAGTGTCCCAAATGAACTAGCACCTGGATTCCTCCCATTAGATGCCATTCTTAAGAAATGGACATGAGAAGTGTGGTACTTTTGGAGAATACTGCAACATCCTGATGCAATGCCTGAAACTCCAGCTGTGATTCTGTGCCTGCGAGCTGAACACACCCAGCCTGAGGACCAATCTGATGAGCAGTGGAAACTGCAAACGGACGTGACCAGACTTGGATCCATGTCAGCTCTGAGGCACCAAGCTAACCAGTCCTGAAAATGCCTTCCCACACTGCTGGGTATGAGTTGGCAAGTTTTTTGATTGTTAAGTTAACTGGAGTTATCTGTAGCCGAATGTATTCTTCTATGCACTGTCTGAAAATGTCATGAACTGCTAGTAATCTGTTTCAAAACATACAGCACACAAGTTAAGAAAGAAAGCACATGAGTTCACACATACCTATGACTCAATGTCAAACTTCCTAGATTTCAAACAATAACACAGGAAAAAAAACACCAAAACTTTGATGAATGTTCATATCAACAACAGCCCTGTTATCACTGTCTATAGTGATGGGAAGACCGCATGCTCACACTAAAGAGCCATGCAATGGTCTTCCGATCACTAATACTCAACCAGTTACCTTTGGTTTTTTTAGAAAATGAAGATTTTATTTTGCTTTAGCAAGTACGACAGTTTGTATACTAGCAACAAATAACTAGATGACACCCACGTGAGTGGAGACGCTGGGTGCGCTCGCAGGGCCTGCTTACCGTTGAGCCACTTGGAGTTGTACTGCGCAGTGCGGAGCGGAGGCAAAAGCCCCAGGCTTCGGTAAATGGCAGGATCTCGTCCCGGAAAATCCATGGCTGTCGCGGCATAGAGCTCACCGCCAGCCGTGAGGAGGGCTGTGGAGTTGTGCTGGGGACTGTAGGGACAGCGGGCCATGCCACTGATCTGATCGTGGATCTCAGTCAGGTTGCTCAACTGCAGGCGAAAAGAGAGAGAAACAAATCATCCTCGGAGAAGCCCCAGTAGAGGCCCTAATGGATCACATCTTCCGCAATCACGAGCGTAGCATGTGTCATAAACTCTCTGGGGCCGGTAAGAGATGAAAAACTTTCACTCTCAGACTTTATGAAAACAGCCCGCTGTGGTCACGGCTAGAGAATCCATCCATCACGCTGTCTGCCCCATCCCTGAGACTTAATGAAATCTCATGCTATTGAATACTTACAAACGATGAAGTAAGATTACTTTAGATGTGGCTTTGATTTATAATGCCTGGCTATTACCTATTTTTCACTTTTAGTAAAGAACTCAAGTTCAATATTTATAGATATATAAATCATAATCAAGAATTATGTACAATTTTATCAATATGAATGAATCAGAAGCTTTAAATACTGAGCCCACAGGTAAGTATGTGCGCATATTCAAAGCACTGCAGGGCTCACTGACTATGTATATGTAGGTGAGAGAGCCACCTGATATGAAAGGGCTGTGCAGTGCTCCTCCAATCATCGGAATAAGCTGGTTACACTGGATTTGCTTAGAAAACGAAGATTATGTTTCTCTTTAGCAAGTGTGACAGTTTGTTTATCAGGAACAAATAAGTACGTATCACAAACATAAGGGCTGAGACACTGGGTGTGACTGCAGAGCCACTGGCAGTCCTGCCATCATCGTGAATGAAGGCAGCTCCCTAAACGCTGGGTTCCCAACTGTTCATGCAAGGGGCTAAGCTCTCTTGGAATTGGGGAATCTTCACACAAATCAACCTGGTCCCTGAGTCTCAGAAGCGAGTGAACAGTGCAGATGGTAGGCAGGATGATGCAGACCCTCTCTTCACTTTGCTGTTGGATACGGAGCCCAGGGAAGTGAGTTCAACTCCTCACGTCTCCGGTTCTTCTTCTATCACAGAAGGATCCCAGAAAGTAAGGAGCTCATGGGGTAGCTGCTGGGACTGAGTGACTGCATGGATGCAGAGTGCTAAGACAGGGTGTGAACCCGGAGCTCTGGGAGGGCCCGCTTTCCCTCCGCCTTCCCTCCCCCTTGCTTCTAGTAACTGAGCATTAACCTGAAAATAACGAGCAGTAACAGATGATAAATTAAGGTTAGGAGCGAAGTTGTACTATTAGGAAATTAACATAATGGCATCTCCCCATTGTATCCCCCAAGGCAGATTAAATTAAATCAATATCCTGAATTAGAAAGATTAGACAGGACCTTGATGACCCTGGCATGCTACTGCAATAGGATGTGCATGCCGAAATCCCACTGTCTACGACCACAGGTTAAAAAGACGAGGTTCAGCTCTAGCTTCGCTTTGTTTATGGCTGCATTTCTTTTGGTGCATTCTTTGACATGCTTCTATCCAATCTGTATGTTGCACTGCTTTTGCTGGGGTGTGATTTTGTACCATCTTAATACTTAACAGTAACTCTACCATAAAGCACAGTAAGAGAATATATAACATGTTTACGATTAATGGTTGGGTTCCCTGGGGAAAATGCTGACTGAAATAGTTGGAAACATTTAAACTGATTGTGTAAGCTATAATTATTTCCGGGTCCTTATAGAAATGATTAGCCATAAATTAATAAATCCAATATTTATCCTATATTTTACAGAAGTTGTTTTAAATTAAAGAGATCTCCTCGATACACAGAGAGATATTTAAAACTAGGGTTTTAATGGAATGTTTGGCTCCTGAGCTCCAAATCCAGCCATACCGAGCGGTTGGTGCACACAGGTGTGAAAGCGTTGGTTCCACAGGTGAATAATCGGTCGCCACCCACCAAAAGCACCCGGATGTAGTTCTGACACTCCTCCTGGAAAAAATCAAATCAAATCACAAGAAACAGGTTAACAAGGCCTGAGACAAGAGGCATGGTGACAAGAGGCAGTACATTTTGTCTGGCTAATAAAAAAATAAATAATTAAACCTCTCAGATGTTCAGCAAAAATAATAATAGAACTGTTACTCACGTTCATCTGACTTTCTGTAGCTGCACACTTGCTCCATAAAGCATATTTATATAGAAAACCTCACATTCAGACAAATTCTCAAACCATATGACTTCTTTTAACATGGGTTCATTTTGAATTACAGGACAAACTTTAAATTTTCTTGGACACGTATTAGGAAAATAAACAAAATGAACAAATTAGATGCTGCTCATGAAACACTGCCTTGGCAAACTGCCTCAGGACTTCATAAAAATGCTGCAAATGCTTCTCTGCTGAGATCATCATGTGAAACTATCTACAAATTGGAATTCATTTATAAGGGCTCAAACTGCACGAGGTACGTAGACAATATCTATAGGAAATGTTAATCATTGGTTGAAAAGTGAAACTATAAGGACTAACATAAGGAAAGGTTTTTCAGGACATGCAGGACAAAGCCCCACACTGAGGGATGGCAAAGCAACCAAAGAAGATGGGAGATATGGCCATCGCAATGATGGGCTCGAGCTACCTTAGAAAACTCTGCATTCTACAGCACTATGACTGGCGACTCTTTGGTGGGCACAGTGCTAGAAGTCGCAATTTAGGCAGAAAAGTTAAAATACAGTGTCATGGCATTTACTATGGCTGGATCCATATGCGCAGTGAGGAAGTGTGCAGGAAGGACTTACCACCTGGCTCTGATGGGAGATGGAAGGGAGAGGCAGGGAGGTTGCTGGCATGAGTTGAGGCTTCTGATTCACTTTAATTAAGGGCAAGATTTAGTGAGGCTTCCTGGAGCTGTTTATTGGGCACATGCAGGAGTTTACTAAGTAGAGGAGGAAAGGATGGCCAGGCCGGGGGAATGGACCGCACCAAGGCATGGCACCTTCACCAAGCACAGAAGAGGTGAGGCATATGCTGGGTACAGTAGGCAGCAGGTTTGCACCGGGCTCTCCCTGGGATGGGAAGGAACTAGTCCCTGTTCTCACTGCACAGTGTTTTAAATCTACCTCATATTTGTCATTAACACCACTCAAGAAAGAATGTGGAAGGTAAACTGGACGTGGGGAGACCGGATATGGGAGGCAGCTCGCAAGGCCTCTTCCATAATTCCCACATTTATTGTGCCAAGACCAGAGTGAAAGTCAGGTGGGAAAAGACAAAGCCAGCACCTGGCAAACTTACAGGACCTGGTGGGTGGACCCCAGCAAAGCCACAAGATGTTAGGATTATTTGAAACACATCAAGCAAAAAATTCGGGCAATTTAATGGCACGGCAGTCCTCTCTTCAACTCAGGGAACCCCAATCTTAACGGCAAAGCTAAGCTAATGGGCACCACCGAGTCTGCTGCCCAGCCTGGCTCTGATGATGCGAAATACTCAAATACGAGAGTTTTCTTTCTAAATGAGAAATGAAATATCAAGGGTAGATACTTCTCCTAACACCATCACTAACCACAATAGCAACAAATCATTGTGGGCTGCTCACATGAGGAAGAAAATACCCAGAATGCTCCCAGTTAATTCCCAGAAGAGTTAAGAAATAAGTGCAGACAGTGACAGTAAGTTGGGTACCTGAGGAAGGTACCACGGCCGAAGAAGCTTGCTCTGTTCTGTTCTGCAGTGTTTTTATAACTCAGGAGAGTTCCAAAGGGAAAGAACAAAATAAAAGACTTGCAAGATGCATGCATCTACCCCTTCCCAGTCTCAGACCACGCAGGACAGAGAGATCCAGGGGTCTGCAAGCTCCGGGTGAAAGTGAGGACGAGAACAGGGGATCCGAAAAAGTGCCCTCCAGGACACAAGACTGAAGGGCTCCATGGCCACTGTGGAAGACTCAGACACAACAAGGACACTGTAACAAAGACTGGGTGGAAAAATCACAACCAGTGCAGAGGGGTAGAGGTTCTGTTTGTTTTCCATTCCTGCATTTAGAACTTTTTCAAAAACAGGATAAGATGTGCAGGATTCTTTTTTTTTTTTTAAGCCAGTGCCTGCCACAAGGTATAAATGTGCCAGAGGCAGTTGCTTAACCGTGAACAACATGGTCAAGGGTAAATTATTCCAAAAGAATCATCCGGATTGAAAGGATAGGATCAAAGCTGAGTTCTACAGACCTGGAGAAGAGGCAGCGAAAGCTGCTAGTCAATTACATGGGGGTGGGATCAAGAGGGCATATGGGGTGTTTATCTTCATCTCCCAAGAGAATAACACAGTGCAGATGAGACTGTACCTTGGAACAGACCTGAGAGCCATCGAAGCCTGACGGAGAGCCAGAGGACATCTAGGTTGTGTGGGAACCAGGATAAGAAGCATGCATGCATGAGAGGCAGGGTGAAAGAAACTGGTAGTTTAAAAAATCAGAGAAAGGGGAAAGTGAGGGAGGACACAGAAGCGGATGAAGGAATTTGTTCTAATAATGAGGACATCGTGAGGATCCACTCAGCTGCTTCCCCCAATTGCTTCCTCTCACTGAGCGCTGAGAAAGGGGGAAACAGAGCAGTGCAGGGCAGCCAGACAAGGCCCAGCACAGCCTTTCTAAAAGGATGGGGGTGGATTCAGCCCAGTGGAGCTTGTGAGAGTAGAGGGCCACCTCCCAGCTGGGCTTGGGCACCAGGAGCTCCAGGGGAGACAGGTGGAGGATCACGAGGGGAGGCCCAGGGTCACCTGTGAGGCCAGGCCAAGGTGGGCACAGGCTCCCAGGGCTGACTCCCTGGAAAGTTCCCTGGGATTCAACTCACAAACTGCTTCCCTGGCTCTAGAACAAGACTGGATGTGAATCCTATACAAATACATCTAAAATAATAAGCAACTTGTTTTAAAGAGAGATTGATTCAAGCCAAACAGAATGCAAAGCTGAAAATGAAGGAAATGGCGGTACTTAGCTTTGCAAGAGTCAAAATTAAGAAAGAAAGAAAATGGTAGAGTGCCAGACTTGTGTAATAATTAGTCTCCTTTTGATGGTGATTCTAAGACTCAGATTCTCCTGCAGAAAATCAACTGGAAAATTGCTTTGTTAATCCCTGCTACAAACTCAGCCCTTTCTTTGCTTGTCTGAACTTGCTTGAAGTATTGCTTAGAATCACCTAAAATATAGGCACAATCTATATGGAAGTCCCTTAGGGGATTCTTCTAAAGGTTTCCCTTATAAATCAGCATACTTAAATATCTGTGATTTTCCTTTCCTCATCTAAAATTTTTTCCTTCTATTCCACTTCTATCTCTTGAAACTGTATTAAGTAGGCTTAATGAATTCTGGTTCTCCAAGAAGTCACCGTGCACATCTTCAAGGCCCAGCAGCCTGCTGCCCCAAGGATTCTGCAGTTGATGATGAGAGTCATCTATCTACGTTTGATAACACCACTTGAACATTAAAATGACCCATGTGTGCTGTGATCCTCAGGCAAGTCAGCTTGTCCTTGACTTCCAGACAAAGTCTATCTGAGTTGATAGCCAAGAGGCATGGTCCCTGCCTCACAGGAAAGGATTTCTGAGGGGCCAGCCGAGGCCCACTTGGGGTCAAGGACACAAGGCCCCAGCGCCAGCCCCAGGAGAGACAGCATAGGTTTTAGGACCATTTTCTTAATGAATTAACTGGTTTACCTTTAGCCTTTCATCTCCCCCCCACCCAAACAGGTCTATTCTGCTTTTCAGAGGTGGCTAGATCTAGAGTGTGTGAGGCTGGGATTGATTCATGGGGCAATGCTAGGATCAAGGCTTCTAGGATTAGGGTGTGAATGTCACCTGCCCTAAGTAGCCAGGATAAGATAAAAGGGCAGAAAGATGCTGCCAAGGACCCTGGCTTGGTTGCTTTTGCTGTTCTCTGCTTGCCATGAACTTCTCTGCAATGCTGCTCTGCCAAGCCACTCTGCCTTGGAGCCAGCCAATTATGGACTAAAACAGCTACACACTGTGAGCTAAATAAACCCTTTCCCCTGTAACTTTGGGTGTTGGGTATTTTTATCTCAGCAAGGAGAGAAAGGGAACTAAGACAATGGGACTAACTACAGGGTACGTGACCCACAGCTGGTTGAACTGTGGCTGAGGAACTTAGGGATAAACTGAGAGACAGAGATAGAGAGGAATATGGACACACTTTTATATAATTGTATGCTATATGCTATGTAATGTATGGTGAAATTATACATTAAACATACTATATTTATTTACAGTCTATTTTCAACCTTACCTCATGATAAAATTTGAGCACTTCATTAGAAAAAAATTCGGTGTGCAAATCTGCACAGGATGTTAGTATCAGGCCTAAGTATCTTCAATTTTTAAAGCAATTATACAGAATAAAGGCCCATCTATGGTGTGTCTTATGCCCTGATTAACTCACAGTTTTCAACCACTGACACTTCGGGTGAAAATGTCAGGATCTAGTGCTCCTCCACCAAGGCCCTAAGAGGGTAGCCTGGTTTTCTTTTCTTTCTAAAAGTTCACCTCTTCACTAGCATGCAAGGACAACATGGCAGTAGGACCATGGGACTTGGCAGAAAGAAGAATACACAGAGCCCTGGATTCTAATCAAAACTCTCCCACTAACTCGCAAAATAATTCTAGGAACTCAGTGACAGAAATCCTAAAATGAGATCATGAACAAGGGCCTTTTGAAAATTATAAAGTGTAAGATAAGTATGAAGCAGCTCTTTCATTCCCTTTAATAAGCTGTTGTGCTTCCTTTGTCAAGTTTCTAATTGTCCTGGTAGGAGGGGCTTCAGGCCAGACAAAAGAGCCCTAAGCAGACAAGGGACGCTTGTTAGATGTGGAGACAAGGGGCCGTTTGTCTTTAAAATAATATTTGTGTGAAATATATTTAACTAGTTCCACAGTTTTTTTATAATTTCTATAATGCTATTTCAAAAGGACTTAAATGCAACTATCCAAAGTTTTGAATTCATAAAAGTGGATTCTTCTCCCTTCAATACATGGAAAGTTTATCTGCAGCTACAGTAAGCTGATAATTTAATCAGTAAGTAAGAACTCCAACCTTGTGATGAATTGGCAGTCTCAATACATAACGTTTTCCCCCCTTTTCTTTTTTCTTTTGCATTCTGGAGGCTGAACCAAAGGAACACATCTCCAGCCTTTTAGCAATTTTATTTTGAGACAAGATCTCACCAGATTGCCTAATCTGGTCTCAAATTTGAGATCCTCCTGCCTCAGCCCTCCTAAGGGCTGGGATTATGGGTGTGTGCCACCACACCCAGTACCTGCATTCTTCTGAGCCTGGCTCCAATTGTAAATTTAATGTGCTGCCCTTGAAGTAATGCCTGTGTCCAGCCCCAGCAATGCTAGGAAACTAGAGGAAAGATGTCCCAGTTAGTGTCCTGGGCTCTGCAGCCAGTGGAGGAATGTTCTCATGGGAGCAGCAGTGGGTGCAGCTTGGCCCATCCATCCACGCAGGGCATTCAGGAAAACACATTATGCAGCACAGCAGAGGCCATGGTTTTTAGGAGCACAGAAAAAAAGGAATTCGGTTAAAGTGGCTGGGATTTTTCTCATTTTTGAGATGTCACATTTTGCATTATTCTCTGAGAGAAGCGAAACCTTGTAATTCTGTGTAAGTTCTCAGAATGCTACAGCACAAGTGAAAATATAATAGTTGAATTCTACTTCTAAACTTATGACCACTCACAAAGCCTGAATTCTACTCCTCCCAGGAGAAATTTCATTTCTTTCAAGCTGAGCATGAAATGTTATCTGATCTGGGCCCTAAGAACTGTGGGAATAGGGGGTGTGGGGTGTTGGAGTTCTGCATTTGGGGGCATGTGGGGAGGCTGTGCTTGGCGTGGTTTCCCCTTTTCAGAGTGGCCGCCTGGCTTCTCCCCTGTGACCCAAGAGCTGAGCTTCAGGGCCCCTCACCCACTGGTCACCACCAGTGACATCTGAAGGAAGCAAGAGAGATGCGTGAAGAAGGGACCTGCACATGAGGTGCAGAGACCTCTGCTCTAGCCCAAGGACCAGCGCAGGGCTGCTGGCCCAGTGTCCGCAAAGCCCTGCTCCACCTGATGCACAAATGCTCCCCCGTACACAGTTCCCTGCGTTCTCCAAATTCCATCTCACAGGACCATGGGCTCCGTAGAGCTCCAGGAGCATTTTTCAGTGTGCTTAATGCAACCTCAAAGAGAATGAGATGTGTCTTTCTCAGTCTACATGGTACCAGACATTCCTCTTCATTTGCCTTTAGGTGTTAGTCTTAAAAAATGTGGCCCACACAGTTTGAACCAATTTACTATTACTCAGATTTGTTATTACTCTTAACATTAAAACCAAAAACATATGAATCATAAATGTACGATCTTATTTTACATTTGTCTTCCTCATTTTCTTTCTTTGTACAGGGACAACTCAATTAAATGTAGTAGCAATTGATCCTTTCAGTGGTATATTATGTACCAGGGTGTATTACACATGAGGCAGAAACAATGGTCTTTTCCTCGTCTACGGAGTTCAGTTGCTTAATTTCTAAACACCAGACAAAAAACTGATCACAGGATAAAGTAAAACATGAGCCAGTTTTGATTCAGCAGAAACAAACTTCCTCTCGAAAAGAGAAAAATACACTAGGAAAAGAAAACCACACAGACACTTCTAAAACTAGGGGCTCAGAGTAGGTGGAGGAGGAACCCCTGGCTAGACTACGTAATCAGGTGTTTTTCTTTAATATGCAAACAGCACTGAGAGACAGAATTCCCCGGAGGGGAAGGGAGTTAACTGTTAGTTCTGTAGCTCTGTGAAATATATATGTGAGGCAGAAGAACCATGAAAACAGTCCCAGGAAGGACAAAAAGCAAAACGAACACTGCAAAACTTGTCCACACATCACCATTTTAGAAATGAAAGCACAGATTCCCAGACAGGTTGATGTCTAGCGATGCCTGGAGCCAGTTCTGGTTGTGAGTGGCTGCCACTCCCAGGCGGGCAGAGCCCAGGGAAGCTGATGGACAGCGAGCAGGACAGTGGCAGGTGATGCCCATTGTCCAGCTGTGGGGTCCGTGTGGCAGCTCTCTCAATGATGAGGATCCACAAGGAACCGTCCTGCATGGCTCCCAGACCCCGGTCCAGGGCTGGACGACTAACATGCAGTGTGACAGGGCAGGATGTGGTGGATGCCATGTGGGTGTCCTGAGCCAGAGGTGAGAGAGGCGAGGGAAAGTGAGGAAGACAGAGAACAGTGGGGACTCAAGTGAACCCCCTGGGAGGGGAGCAGGGTGCAGGCCACTCAGGTCTGGGCCAAAAGATCAAACATTTCAGAAACACACTGCGCATGTGTGGACACACTGCGCTACAGAGCGACCCCACATGGAGGAGTGCTTGTGGTATACCCCTGAGGCCCAGGAAGAAAGGAGGAAGGAAGGGCAGAGCACCAAGAGGCACACGAAGACAAGTGGGAGAAGGAGAGAAAGGGAGGTGAGGGGTACAACGGAGGAGCAGGGTCAGAGCCCAGGTCCCCAGAAGGTGCTGCTGTCACAAGGCCAGGCCCCACGTGGGGGCTGAGCCCAGAGGGAGGCCAGTGCAGGGTGCCAGTGTTGGCCTGTGTACAGGAAGGGCCCTCTCCCTTCGCAAGCCAACAAGTCGGCCTCCCTGGCCCACTGTCCGCTCCCCACATGGCAGGCAGAGAGGCGAGGGTCAGGTGGCTCAGTACTGTCTCCAAATGGAGCCTCGGTAATTACAGGCAGGAGACAGAACCAGTCAGAAAGTGCACCTTTGAGCATTTTATACACACATGGCTGAGAGAAAAATACAAGGTTGAAATTTTAGAAAGATTTATTACACTAAAGAGACACTGCCGATAATCCCCTTCAAAACACGGTCTCGCTTCCTACACACTCAGCCCATCCTTTTTCCTACTGTCTTACATTTACAGTGACTTCTGTCCAATATAAACACGACGTTGTCCTCATCCTCCTTATTCACCAAAACTGGCTCGATGCCACTTCTGGCTCCTCCTTAAAGTCAAAATGACCACGAAAGATAAAATATTTCTAAACCTCCAGGACATCGAGGTAGCTGTGACATCACAACTAAAAGCACAAAAGAGGACTCCAGAACCGCTCGGGAAGGTGACAAGAATGATGGGAAGAGGGCGTTGGCAGTGTGTTCAGAACAGAATGTGAGGGAGGCTCAAGGTGATGGCTTTCACTGTACTCGCTGAATGTCAGCGTGCACTGCATTTCTTGATCCTGCGGTGCAGGCTGCCTGGACAGGTGAGGAGGGGCCTGGTCGAGCCATCGGCTGTGTACCAAGGGGCCTGGGAGGGGCACGGTGCTGGAGAACATCTCCCCAGGCCTCTCACGGGCTCTTTCTACAGGAACCTGGACATGTAGATTTTAGCAACAGAAAGGAAACAGAGCTAATTACAAGGATTTGTCAAGATAAATTGTAAAGAACACACACCAAATTACTTTGATACAATAATTTTACTTAGGATATAGCTACTTTTATAGTTAGCAACGAAGTATGAAAGGCGAGAGTAAAAATAGTATTTTTAAATCCATGCCTGTATTGTTTTCAAGTTATAGCAGAGTCAATTAATTTCAGATCTTAGTCTGATGACTGGAAGCACAGATGAGATTGGATCTTATGTTCTGATTGATCCTCTTTGACAATGTTGGATGGTTGGTTCATTTTCATTTAATGTGAAGCCCTTAAGTGTTGGCTGTGTGCATATGTTGAACGAGCCTTCTTACTCGTTGCAAGGCATCCAGTGCTCAGGAATGACGGGCTTCTGAGACAGGCCTTCTACCAAGAGGGTGGTGACCGCGCCGCCCCTCGGCCTTCTTACCTTCGATTTGCCTTTGCTGTAGCAGGCCTTCTTGGTCGCCTCGTCACATGCCCACTCCGCAGCCTGCACAAAACACCAGAGAGAGCAATACCAACCATTAGGGCTTTGATGGGACAGAAGCGGAAAACAGCAGAACACATGGTAACCAGCTCCTGCAACATGGCGCACCCGGCACCCACGCTGTCCCAGCAGCGCAGAATCCACACCAGATGCACGAAGTCCCACCCGGGGCTGACACGGCTTTAAAGCCAAGGCATTTGAAAGACTCATTCCCTGAGTATTTGCCTTTTAGTAATAATAAAAGGAGGCCCAGATCTAGTCACTGCCAGTGAGCAGGTCACTCCAGTGTGAAACCAGAAAACAGACGCAGTGGAGGGAGTAAGCAGGGCCCTTGAAATAAAATGACCTAAATGCCCATTTAAACCAGTGGGGTTTATAGTAATAGTGAGTCATTCATCAACATTCATGGACAACAAAGTCAGAGGGCCTGCACATTCTCACCACTCAGATGCATGTGTACATGATAGTCAAAAAGTAAACGGCTCATGCAAAGAACACATCTATCATGTCCCCCACGCCAGCAATTTTCATGCTGTTCTTAGCTCTGACTAAATATCTAGTCACAACTTTCAACTACTTTTTCTCAGACTTTGTAAATCTAACTCCTGCTGGTCAATTTGATGTGTGTATTTTCACATCTGAAATCACAAACAGAATGTGTGATTAGTTAGGATAGCCAGCGGGGCTCCCTTCTCAGGGATAAATGTTATCCGTGCATGTTAATATATAGAGATTGTGAATCTTCCTCAATAAATGTAGACATCGGACTTGTTTTTCTGTTCTGTCATTGTATGCTGGATAGAATTTTGTGGTGTAAAATTTTTCTCCATTTCCACCCACACTATGCCAATTATTTTTCATCTTACTAATAGAATTGGATTTCTGAAGAATCTGAGATGTGTATCAGTTAAGTCATAACAGGAAAATGTTTAAGCTACAGACAATTTTTTATTAATTTGGAATAATGTCAACTAAACTAAATCAAATATAGATTAATGTCAAATAATATGAAAGGAAATATTGGTTTTGCCCTTGTTACTAGTATGATTTCTTTTCCTAATTCGAACTAAATTTGGGGGAATACTAAAGATAGGCTAAAAACATATCTAAAATCTTTTATCCTCCAAAGAACGTTACATAACAGATTAAATCATAACACACTGCATGACTTGTCTAATTTATCCTACTTGGCAAACATTTGTCTTTAAGAAAAGTATTCCAGAAAGAACAATTCCATGTATTTTAAAGAGAAACAATATTCTAACTGTTTTCCCTTGGGCAGACTGGGAGGTTTTTATCTGATACAAGAGAATTTGTTAATCCTTTCTGTGCTTTTTTCCTGTGCATAATTCTTGATGGCAAACAAGTAACAGATAATCAGTATCTGAATTCCACCCAGGTTGGCGAACACTTTCAGGAAATGTGAAGATACTCCAAAGAGACGAAAGCTTCATATGCAGTAGTATCTCTATAATCCCATGAAAGACAGACAAATAAATGAAAATAGATGCATTGTGTTGATGTGGTTTGACCACTGGTCCACTCCTTTCTTAAATTTCTTCAAAAAAGCTCACTGTTATTTTTGTTTAGAGATATCCATCATTTTGCCTTTATACTTGAAGAAGGCTTGATATAGTCTATGATATATTCTCTTAGAAGAGTAGATTTCCCTGTAACTTTAATTCTATATTCCAGAAGATTTGTGTTACAGACCACAAGAAGGAATTACTATGTATAATTATGAGGAAAATTATACAGTGAAATACTTTAGCTAATGAGGTATTTGTAGTGCTTCTCCTTGGTCTAGGGATTTTGTTAAAAGTTAAATATTAAGAGTCTCTTCAGTAAATACAAAAGCTAGGAGGAGCAAGGTTAGTTCCAGAATTAGGGAGAAGAATATTTATCACATGCAATCAAAATTTTTTAGGTCCTGCTGCTGACAAGGTAAGAAAATAGTTTTATAAGTCTATCTAATGTGCAAGTAGCCTTTGCATTCACAAGATAAATGTTGGCAAAAGGCTAGAGGGGAAAAGTAATAGAAAAATGTAAGAGTTTTTACAAATATTTTATTGTTTTACTAGTTTATTGAAAAATAGCAACTGCTCATCCAGGTTTACTGGACAAACAGGAAAGAGGACAAATATGGGTTTTTCCAAAGACAGTTATTGAAAGTGAAAAGTTACTTTTCTGAGGCATTTTTATTATAGTATCACCAGCATGCCAATCATATTCAAATCCAGAGTTAATTAAAGACCGTGACTCTATAGTTTTTCTGTGGATTCACTTTCTATTGGAATAGAAGATAGGATAAAGAAAAATGTTACATTAAAGATGCAATGTTGCTGATTGTAGAAGACAGCAGGGGTGAACACATAGCATATCACAAAAGGGTAAATGGGTGTAAGTGACAGAAAGTGACTTTTTCCAATTCCACTAGAATTGAGGGCTCCATAGTGCTTTTACTTTTTACCCTGTGAACTAGCCTTGCCTGTTGGGCTATCTGGCAGCTATGGGAAAAAAGTGCTTCCACAGAAGACAAATATAGACATCAGCTGAACCTTCTTACATCTTGCTATCCACTCTGTTCGAATTTAGTTGTTTTTATAAATCTGGTTGCAACTTTCTTTATTCCATTAGAGCCATGCTAATCAATTAAAAAAACTTTTAATCAAGCCATCTTGTTCTATTGTCACTGAAGATAGTTTTTCTTTCCTACAGCATTATTTTGGAACAAAATCTAGTTACTGATTTCAGAATCCGTTTTTTAGCTCGTCTTCCAATTCATTTGGACCATTTCCTACCACCCTCACCTATTTCTGCAACTGTCGACACCAATACAAGGATTTCAACTTCACTCTCACAGTCTGAATTCCTGCATCTTCTTTTTCAAAGAAATCTTAAATGTTTGTCATCTTTTGTCTTTTTCTGATGCATGACAGTCCAGGATAGAAAATTATTCTCTATTTAATTCAACACTTACTGTTCATTATACATTTCAGCAGCTGACACAGGGCAGTAATGATGTGTTTACCTGGGTATTCAAAGACTATATGTAGTAGGTTAGAGGTCTGGAAAAAACTATAGTCAAAAATGACACAAAGATTCCTGATTGTGGCCCTTTTTTCTGTAAATACATACCAAAATCATCTGTGCTACTGAACAACTTAAGGAAGATTTTATTTACTCCCATGCATTCCTTCTCTCTTTCATTTAATAACCACTATGAATTTACTAAGTACAAGATAGTCTGTTAGATAACGATTGATAGAAGGAAAAACAAGTGTACAAATCAGATATCAATTTGCAATAAAATATATGAGAGTCTCAAATGAGCCTAGCCAGCATCATGTGAAGTCTAAGAAGGCAACAATGTTCATTTTTCTTGTTACAATAGCTAAACTCCTTCAACTTGGACGTAAAGTATCCTCATCTTTCCAGAAGTGAAAGCTCTCCAATCATCACTACACAGTCAGAGGCTGGGTAGGCTCACAGAAAAGCCCTGTTGTATCTACAGAAGTCTGAGCTGTGAGGAAGCACATATCATGTGTGTCATTAAGCAAGCCACACCTCACCATTCTGCCCATGGACATGGTCCAGCTAGGATAAACGGGGCTGTGATCTCAGGAGTAATTCAGATGCTGGAAGGAAAAAGAGCTTGGATCTTTTTATGTACATGGTACACACATACAAGTCCACAGTTCTCAGAAGTACGTAAACAAAACTGTGTATTATCACATTCCACAGCAAGAGAAGTTAATTAGATAGGAACTAGTGATGGCAGAGACTTTTCATAAAAATGAAGAGAACAACATTCTAGGCAGATGGGACACGCTCTTTCAGCAGATGGCTTTGCTAATTAGACACTGGCAAAATATAACATTTAAAAAAACTAGTTTAATCACACAGCACCAAAAATTAACAACCACCTGAGGGCTTTTGTGTTTGTATATTTGCATTCATATTCTTATGTCATGTATTTGTGTGACACATCAGAGAATGTTACATTGTCATGACGATTATAAAGAAATTTTCAGGGAATGGAAAACCACATCTTTGTTCAAAACAGAAGCAAAACTCAAATGAGTTTGAATCTGAAAAATAATGAATTTATGTGACTGGAGTAAAATGTCAACCTAGTTAGCCTTTCTTGTGGACATCTTCACTAATTACCTCTGGTGGCCGCACATGTCAGTTTCTAAGCAAGTGACACTTGAGTTGAAACTCCCGAGTGCATTAAAAGTCACAAGATGGAAAATGTTTTAGTTAGGTGGGAAAGCTTTGTGCAGTATTGCTCTCTGCCTTCACTTCTTCATAGGTATTGTGTATCTATTCATTCTTCATATCAGTTTGCAGAACACTCCCATTTCTGTCCACATCAAACTCAGGCAAGTCCAATTCTCTACTGGAAACCTCCAAGCCAGGATGCAGGACAAGAACTTAGTCCTATCATCTGACTTTACACTGACATCAACCCCAAGTTAAGGGAAGCCAAAATAACCACAGCAGCTCTGCCAGAGTAAGTTACAGTGTTTCCAAAGCCCTATATTCACATAATATCAAGTCAAACTTTCTTGGATTAGCTGCAGAGCTTCCCAAATTGTTGAACTTTACAGGGCATGTGGTTTTCTAACTGGTGTAGGCAATGTGTTAGTTCTGAGAACTGGGTGACAAAGTAACCACAGACTGGGTAGTCTGAACAACAGGGATTTACTCTTAAGGTTTTAGAGGCTGGAAGTGTGGAAGCAAAGTGTTGACAGAATACTCCTTCTGGAAACCCTAAGGGGGAATCCTCTTAGGCTCCCACCTGACTCCAGTGGTCACCGTCTATCTTGGTATACGTCCTATTTCTGCCTCAGTCATGGCACAGCTTCTCCATGTGACTCTTTTGGTCCAAATATCCCTTTTCCTTCGAGTACCCTGGTGTCTGGATTAAGCTCCTTCCAAGTCCGGTAACAACCCTGTCATAAATCGGTACCTCTGCAAACAGCCTATTTCCAAACAAA